GAGATGACATGATAATTGAAACAGGAACTCAGTGCAATTAACTATATCTTTTGTCATAAACAGGGTCTACAAATACGATTTTTTTTTGTCATAAACAGGGTACCCCTTTCAGAATAGGGGGAACACCCCTACCCAAATTCTGGCAGAGTACCCCCCCCCCCCGGGAGTAGTATATGGGTTATCAGGGTTGTTTAGATTTAAGCATTGAATAGCACAGCGCACAGATGATGTCATAAAAACAAAGACAAAGGTAAAACTCAGACAAACAAACTTACACTTTACTTTCAGCAGATAATTTTCATAGCTAATAAATTGCAGTATGTAGATCTTTGTTTAATTGGGTTGTTATCCCAACTTTAAGTAAAAACAATGGAATCAGAGGGAAGGGTCTAGGAAGATTAAATAGGTTTTTTGCACAAATACACCACATGACCCAATCCTCAATTTTAGTAAGTCTCAAAGTTAAAGTGGGGGTCAAGCCCTATGATCTGTTCATGTGTACAAACGTCCTATTCTTATATTTCTTATGTGTTGGGTGTGGGATAATCAATGTATATCTGTGGATAATGTCTAATATCACAACCCCATCATTTACCATATCCTAAAAATATAAAGTGCATTCAAATTACCTTAATTAAAGAAATTGCTATCACATTAGGCTTCATGTGTTCTTTCATCATCTCACAGGTTTTTCTGATAAACTAAAAAAGAAGGGTTAGTTGACAAAAGACCAATCTTGGAATGGAATGCATGTTACAGTATAATTATCTTAGGTGCTATGTTGGTTGACGCTAACAAAGCATTCCTAATTAGCTTCTCTTAAGTCAACCAACATGGTGGTCATTACAGAGAATCAGTTTATAACAAATTTGATTCACATGGTAGCATCCCAAGAATTACAACACTGGTAAATCCATAACCATATGAGCTCATAAGATAAAGGCAGGGCTTAAAATAACTGCCAAATCAGTCGCTGGTCATGATCACAGGCCAAATTACAAACTGGAGTTTTAGCTTAGCCATACCTCATTTCTGACTGAAGGTTATTGCTCAAAATGACCGGCAAGGCAAAGATTTGACCTGACATGTCCCAATACTGGCTGGACATTGTCTGATGTCCAGCGGTCATTTTAAGCCCTGAAAGGATAGTGTAGGTTTATCAATAGACAGCAAATAACTACAAAGCTTTTCTCTAACTTCTTCTACCCAGCTAGTAACACTACAAGGAAACTAGGAATAGAGGTTTTTCATGTGATGTCACACTGTAGACAGATTTGTTTAAACTGAAAAAAAGAGTTCATATATTACAGCGCAATGCACAAAAGTATGACTTATTTGCATACTTCTACTGTATGCACAGGTTCTGTACGTTGAACTGACACATTTCAATGCCAAGCTGGATGGTTTTACCAAATAAGGCGTGTAAACACTCCTTTGACAGCAAAAAGCCTGTGCATAGAAGTATGCGAATACATTATCATACTTTTGCGTGCTGCTCTGTAAAAGTTTTCATGCAGATATTTGTAAAACTGTTTAGATTCATGAAGATTGCATGTACATGTAAACTATCTAAGAGAATATTTTTTGAAAAAATAAAGCTTTATAAATGAATGTAAAGTTGGCAGGCAAAATTTGACTTCATTAATTTCTTTGTGAAAATTAATAAGTTAATAGGGCTGTACATTCTCTGGATTCTGAACAATCTTCAAGAAGCTTTATAATTTTACTAATATCTACAGGGGTCTCATTATTATTATTTTAAATATAGGAGAAGGTCACGAATTAGTGGTTAGTGAGCATTTTACAAATGAATAAGCTATAAAATATGGTATTTTTAGCTGGAGAATTTTGCTCACTCAAAGCCTGAGCATTCTCTGATCCCTAACCCTTAATGAAGCTCATTACTGTATCTATGAAAGATTTGATAGGAAAATTTTCTTTTTCGGATAAAACAAGAAATAAAAATTTTTGATAGCATGACGACACAGTGAAAAATCTCAATCACCTACTGGTTTTAAGTAATTTATATAGGTTTGAATGGTTTCGTTTGAATAGGACTCATCACCTGATGTGGGACTACAAAAATTAGAACGTCTGCATCCTTCGTACACTCTGCAACATCTGCAACAGCTATCTAAGAACCAGAAAACCAAAAGACAACCATTAGAAATGAAAACATCTATTTGTACAGTTTGCATATGTCAAATGAGGGTTTAATTCGCATTCAATTGCAGTTGAATACCTGAGAATTTGTGCAGAAAATAAAGAAAAAACTACTTTGTCAAAAGTGGATATTGACTGCATAATTGTTTTTCTTTTCATATCTCTAAGTTTAGTAATTCTGTAGGAACTTAAGCTTAATGGATGAGGACGGTGGGATGCCAAACAGATATGCAATGTTTACAATAAAGTATTATTACGTACGTAGCTTTTAAAAGCTTATATCGATAACGTTAAAAATGCATTCATTAAAGTACATGTATTCTACCATTATTACTTACAACATTTTCAGGTATCTTAAATCCTTTCAAGTACTTGACGTTCTCATGTTGTGTATTGATGATTTCAGTGAGTTTTTGTCCGTCAACTTCCTCTTCAAACACCCACATCTTGACTTCTTCATGGAAGACGTCGTTGTGGTCCTTCGTGTTGGCTCCAACAATTCGCGCTATAACTGAGCCCCTAAACATAGACACATACAAAAAAAGCAAGTGTTAAGAATTATAAAGATTTTCCTGACACGAGAACTATAGAAAAACTAAGACTAACCAGTTTCCAGAGCCAATAATGGCTAYTCTTTTCTTCTCAGCAGCAGCCATTTTTGCACAAGTCAAATAAAGAACTGAAGGCGTTGTGAACCACAGGGTGACCGCGCTATAGGGTTCGCAGTTTGAAGAGAATCACGTGATGATATCGAACAAACATGTGATCACAAGCTTGGTCTTCAGGGTCGTCAAACAGGAAAAAAATAACACAAAGAAAACTTTTCATTCTTGCTTTTGCCTAGCTTAGAAGAAAGTCAGAACCGTAGGGAAATCTCTAAGCAAGATCGAAAGAAAAGGAACAAAAAGAAACAATAAGGAAAGATAGGGAGAAAAAGCAAATAGGAAAAACAAATAGGAAAAACGAAACGGAAAATAAAGAAAAAAGTAAGAAACAAGAAAGTAAAAAGAAAAAGGTAAAAATCTAAAAGAAAAAGAAAGAAGGAAAAAGGAAGCTAGAAAAAAGAAAAAGAAAAGGAAGGAGGCAGGAAGAAGAAGAAGAAGAAGAAGGAGGAGGAGGAGAAGAAGGAGAAGAAGAAGAAGAAGAATTGGAGAAAAAGAAGAAGAAGAATTGAAGAAAAAGAAAAAGCCGAAACTGAAGGGAAAAAAAAAAAAAGGATAAGCAAAGAAAATCGAAACGGGGAAGCAAACCATAGATTTAAAGTGCAAAGTCGGGTTCACTATCATCGCAGTCACGGAACAAGCAGAATATTTTGTAATATACTATTGAATGCTAGTTATTGTGCCGTTTAGGGTAGCTCACAGCAATTCTTGTTTTAAGTTTCAGTCCGACGTTTCGGCGGTCCTCAAGCCGACTCATGACGAGCTGGAGAGCCCATTTTACGGTAAACAGCATGTAGTCTTGGTTGCTACAGATAATAGTTAATCCGATTTCCGTGATGTCAAGATGACGAATGCCAGGCAAAAACATCACGCATCTGTAAATATGCCTACACTCGATCTATTTAGAGTTATAAAYCATGTCGCTCGGCTATGAAAGTCCCAATAAGACACCCAAAACATAATATACTTGTCATATAATCACTTATTACCTGTAGCATTAAAAATRCCAATGAAACAATTYGATTGAAATAAACATTTATGAAAATATATACCTTTAACCCGCTCCCAATAGAACAACACCAGCAACACAAGCTAAGAACAGACGTATTATGTACAAAACAGAAACAGAGTCACATCTATCACAAAACACAGTGATCTAAGTAAGCATACACATTATACAGGTATACGAGTACTGTTATGGGTTTCCTGTGGTTTGTAACCGCTGACCAGCGGTGGGGTGGGGAGTTAAGATGGCGGACATTAAAGTATACTTGTGGTTTGTTCACAATCTGTTTGCATCCTCCGTGTGTTCGCCCATCGTGCCTTTTACATGGTGTCAGAAGTGCAAGAAAGAAAAAGTTAACCTCTTCANTTAGGGCATATCTAGAATTGTCGAAATCGTGATTCAAAATATTGAATACATTTTCCCTAGGGCTACTTTATGACAACATCTTTATCTTGTCTATTTTCAGACTTTTTTTATCGCTTTTCTGTAGCCTTAGGAAATTGGCGTTAACTTTATAGCCAGTTTATTGTAAAACAAGGTTTTGCCATTTGGACCAAACTAAGACAGCTAGATACAGCCTTCTCGATCAACCTTAATCCAGTTAATTGATATTCACGACAATAAGTGCATCTTCCTTACATTGTAATGTATTTTATTAAGCTATTATATGTTAACAGAACCTTGTAGTGTTGAAGACATCGTCCAGTTTGTGTTGGATTCCTTGCCTTCTGGAAGCGTTGTAGTAAACAACCATTTAACTGGAGCACTGGTGCAAGTTGTCAAGGGTGAGTGAGTATATGGAGTCACTTTATAAATTAGATTTTGTGACGTTCCGGGGGGTACTCTTGCCCGTTTAGGGTAGGGATGTGCCGCTGAGCCCTCTGAACCCTGACCCTGTTCCAGAGCAAAAATCGCTGAAATTCATACCCTGTTCCAGAGCGAAAGCGATTTTATATGCCGTGTTCCAGAGTAAAATCGATGAAAACCATACCCTGTTCGGCGGCACGTACCCCCGGGGGTGTTATGGGTTTCCTGTGGTTTGTAACCGCTGACCAGCGGTGGGGTGGGGAGTTAAGATGGCGGACATTAAAGTATACTTGTAGTTTGTTCACAATCTGTTTGCATCCTCCGTGTGTTCGCCCATCGTGCCTTTTACATGGTGTCAGAAGTGCAAGAAAGAAAAAGTTAACCTCTTCAGTGGATTATTGAAGTAAAGTAAAAGAAATGAATCAGCTAAAACCTCCAGAATCCCTCGACTTCGAAAGCCACGATCTATCGCATGCCTGGCGAAAATGGAGGGAAGAAGTAATGTTATATCTCGATCTGGCAACCGCAGGGGATGATAACGCTACAAAGGTAAAGCTTTTTCTTTATCTTCTAGGGGCTAAGGGCCGAGAAATTCAGAAAACAATGCAGTATACGACTCCTGAAAAAGACAGAACGATTGAGGAGCTCCTCAAGTCGTTTGATGAGTATTGTGACCCTAAAAAGAATGAAACGGTCGAGAGACACAAATTCTTCATGCGAAACCAAGAGCAGGGCGAAGCCTTTGACAAATACTTAACAGAATTGAGACTACTAGAGAAAACCTGTGACTTTGGGACACTCTCAGACTCACTTCTCAGAGACAGGATTGTATGTGGGATAAACACCTCGAGTTTGAGAGAACGACTATTAAGAGAGCCAAGTCTTACCCTGAAGAGCTGYATTGACCTCTGTAGAGCTTCAGAGCTGTCTAAGGAAAGGAACAAATCACTGACTAGCACAGATACAGTTAGTAGAATCAGCTCTAAGACCCCACCTGATCGAAGGGGAAGGTCTGGGTCAGGGGTAACACCAAAACCTACCAAGAAATGTATCTACTGTGGAAGACAGCATGAAATGAKCAAAGAAAAGTGCCCTGCATATGGGAAAACCTGCAACAGATGTAAGAAACAGAATCACTTTGCAGTCTGTTGTGGGAAAACATCCTTCAGCGCACCCCCAACTCACAACCAAGTACAGTCATTTAGTGAGGGCGAGGGAGATGATGATGATGGTCAGTATTATGAAGTGAAGACACTGACAGAACTTCCAGAGATAGTTTACACTGTTGGAGAAGAACCGAAGAGAAAGCTGTTTGCTGCCATGACTATCAAAAACAAGAGCATCAAGTTCCAACTAGACTCTGGTGCAACGTGCAATGTCATCACATCAAAGATCCTTCGAGATACAGGATGTAATGCAGAGGTAGCTTCATCAAGAACGGTACTCTCCATGTACAATGGAACGACTGTTAAACCAGCTGGGCACTGCAAAGTAAAGATGATCAATCCCAAAAACAAGAAGAAATATCTGGTAAACTTCATGGTTGTTGATGATTCTACATGTACAACCCCAATTCTCGGAAATATGGCAATACAACAGATGGAGCTGATAAAGGTGCTAGAGGAGAATATCAGCAGTTTGCATTCAGGAACAGGTGCTATGGGAATGATGGAAAACATTCCTTTCTCAAAAGCCTCCCTCCTAGGACAGTATCCTGAAGTATTCCAAGGAATTGGGTGCATGCCAGGCGAGTACCACCTGACGACTGACCCATCAGTAAGACCAGTTGTACACCCTCCAAGAAAGATTCCTTTGGCTTTGAAGGATAAACTACAAGCTGAGATTCAAAGATTAACAGAGTTACAGATAATCGAACCAGTATCAAAACCAACCAAGTGGGTATCCAGTATGGTCACGACTAAGAAACACAATGGTGATATCAGAATATGCATAGATCCCAAGGATCTCAACGGAGCCCTGCAGAGGAGTCACTACCCTATACCAACAATTGAGGATGTTCTGCCTAACCTGAACAAGGCCAAGATTTTCAGTACTGTAGATCTGAAATGTGGATTTTGGCAGGTGAAGCTGGATGATGAGAGTGCTGACCTAACCACGTTTAACACACCTTCGGGTCGATTCAGATGGCTACGAATGCCATTTGGCATTTCTACAGCCCCAGAAGAGTTTCAACGACGGCAACATGAAGCAGTAGAAGGCATATCTGGGGTTGTGTCAGTTTATGATGACATTCTAGTCTATGGCGAAGGCGATACAGCAAATGAAGCCATAGTTGACCACGACAAGAAAATGAGAGCACTCATGGAAAGGTGTAAAGAAAGGAACATTACACTAAACAAAGATAAGATCCAACTCAAGAAGACAGAAGTGCGCTTTCTGGGACACCTCCTTACTGCAAATGGTGTGCAAGCTGACCCTGAGAAGGTACGTGCAATATCTGACATGCCAAAGCCAACGGATATGAAAGGCGTACAGAGACTGCTAGGATTCGTGAACTATCTCAGTAAATTTCTGCCTCAACTGAGTGAAGTGTGTGAACCACTGAGAACCCTGACATTGAGGGGAACAGTGTGGTGCTGGCTAGACGTGCACGAACAAGCATTCCGCAAGATAAAGGAGCTTGTTACAGCAGCACCATTACTTCGTTATTATGACCCTGATGATGAACTAACACTGCAATGTGATGCATCGGACAAGGGACTGGGGGCTGCCTTACTGCAGCAAGGCCAGCCWATCGCATTTGCCAGCAGAGCTCTCACACAGTGTGAGCTGGGATACGTGCCAATTGAAAAAGAGATGCTGGCAGTGGTATACGGTATGGAAAGGTTTCATCACTACACTTATGGAAGGAAAGTTACCGTCCACTCTGATCATAAGCCTCTTGAGTCAATTGTCAAGAAACCTCTACACAAGGCTCCAAAAAGGTTACAGAGAATGCTTCTTCGGCTCCAGAACTATGACATTACTCTGATATACAAGAAAGGAACCGAAATGCATCTGGCCGATACATTGAGCAGGGCTTACCTCAAGGATACGCTACCAAGTGCCTTCACAGAGGAGTTGTCARCAATTGACGCAAGAGAATCAATATGCGTCTCACAAAGCTGCTTAGAAGACATAGCACATCACACAAAGGGAGATCCCACATTACAAGAGCTAGATCGAGTGATCCGTGAAGGCTGGCCAGAGTCCAAAAAAGAGGTGCCACTACCACTTCGCCCATACTACCATTGCCAYGATGAACTATTTACTCAAGAAGGTATAATCTACAGGGGCGAAAGAGTTGTCATCCCCTCCCGCTTAAGGAAGACGATGACCAAGAAAATCCACTCCTCCCACATGGGGGTCGAAGGTTGTCTCAGAAGGGCCAGGGTTTGCTTTTACTGGCCAGGAATGGATGCACAAGTCAAAGACTACATCCAATCGTGTGAAACATGCCTAGCTACGGGGAGGAAGCAGCAAAAGGAAACGATGATAGCACATGACGTAGAGGGCCGTCCATGGTCAAAGGTGGGAATGGACCTCTGTGAGCTGAACGAGAAGGCCTACTTGATAATAGTTGACTATTTCTCAAATTTTGTAGAGGTAGACTTGCTGGAACATACCAAGTCCAGGGATGTTATTCACAAGGCAAAGGCACACTTTGCGCGCTACGGAATCCCCAATGTCGTGGTGTCTGATAATGGCCCACAATTCTCATCGCAAGAGTTTCAAGATTTTAGTAAGCAGTGGGAATTCCAGCATGTGACATCATCTCCAAGATACCCTCAGAGCAACGGTCTGGCCGAGAATGCTGTCAAAACAGTTAAGCGTTTGTTGACACGTGCAAAGATTGCAAGAGGAGATGCCTACCTCTCACTCCTTGATTTTAGAAACACTCCCACTCAAGGAATGACTACCAGTCCAATGGAACGACTGATGTCCCGTAAAGCTAAGACACTTCTACCCATGAAAGAAACACTGCTGGAGCCCAAAGTAAATCTTGAGGTTTGTCAAGAGAGAAAAAAGATGAAAGAAAGGCAGAGCCATTATTACAACAGGAATGCTAAAGATCTACCACCTCTAAGTGCGGGAAATGTTGTGCGAGTGCAACCAGAAAGGAAAAGTCAGCAGTGGAGCAAGGCAACAGTCGTCTGTCGCAACGAGAAAAAACCCAGGTCATACAAAGTGGAGACAGAAGCAGGACAGGTCCTAGAGAGGAACCGTAGGCATCTCAAGCAAGCACCCTCAACTACCCAAGCGGTTAGGCAAGAGGATCCATTCATTGAAGAGGGACCATCAACCGGTCAGGCAGCAGATCAAGAAGAGCTGTCAGCAATCCCTGAAGAACAAGAGAAGCAATACCAGACCCGCTCTGGAAGGACGGTCAGGATGCCATCTCACTTAAAAGACTATATCACGGGATAGAAGAAGAAAAGAAGATGTAGAAGAAGAAGTACTAGTGAACTGACTATGAACAGACATGTTATTAAAAAAAAAAAAAAAAAAAAAAAAAAAAAAAAAA